TTTGAGCTGCTGGGATGTGCCCCTGCTGGGTCCTGCTGCTGGAGGGTGACAGCCCAGGGAGGATTTATCACTTTATTAACCACATTCTTTATGCCATAAATAATATTTAGCAGACTGCTGAAATTCATCTGGGAGAATAAGTTAAAACAACCAGCCCTGCTTGCACTGATTGGTTTTCCTGCCAGCTCAGACTTGTATGAGAAGGGATTTTTTTGGGGTCTCAGTCCAGCTGTGAGACCTGTTTCACTGATGCTCTTCATTTTCTTTGTGGAGTCACAGAATCCCAGAGTGATTTGGGTTGAAAGGGACCTTAAAGGCACCTTCTCCCCTTCCATGGAGCCTCCCTGGGATCCCCAGGAAGGATCAGGATCATCCCAAGAGCCGGGGGATGGCAGGAGGCTGGAGGTGGCTGTTGCTAAGCTACAGGCTGTGCCTGCTCTGGCTGTCAGGACAGACCTGGCACTTCTGTGTGAGGGGTGCCCCGTTCCTGGGTCAGGGCTGGCAGACTTGGCTGATTTATTTGTGCTCAGATCTCTGAGACAGAGCTGGATTTTTGCACCCCAACCCCACATCCACACTGGGCTGAGGGGCTGGTCCTGCCCTGGGTGTCAGCCAAGGAGAAAAGCACACGGGCCCAGGAGTGACCCTGCACTCCAGGGGCTCCCAAAGTGTGTCCTGCAGCAAAGCAGAGCCAGCCAGCCCCCCTCTGCTGCCAGGGGGACCCTTCTCAGGGGCGTAGTGGGACCTCAGCCGTGGGGAAACCTCTCAGGAGCCTGTGCATGGGGAGGAGAGGGAATGATGCTGTCCCTTTGTTGGCACCTTTGTTTTTGGCAGCTCCTGGCTCTGCCCTTCAGCCCCGTCTCCAAATGTCTGAGCAGGCAGCACGTGCTGGGAGGTGCTGCTGTGTCTGCAAGGGCACAGAGGATTCTGGCTTTGCTGTAAGGGCAGTTGTTAAATAAACCCAATTACACGGTGAGGGTGGGGATGTTGAGAGCAAAGCCCCCCTCGCTCCAGGCTGGGCAGGCGAGCCAGCGCTGCCTTTGTTCCTCTCTGCTTGCCCTCTCTCTGTCCTCCTGCACTAATTAAGCTCGTCTGCATCCTGCTTAACGGCGTCCAGAGAGGGGAGATAAAATACAGACCATGGTTTTCCAGCCAGAGCTTGTGCTTCTCCTCCCGGGGATCCCTCCCAGCTCCCGGCGGGTGGCACAGCCCTGGGCTGGGCTGGAGAGGGTCTGCCCGGGGATGAACACGAGGAGGAATCGATGGGGTCAGAGGAGGAGGACGCGAGGAAAAGTTCCCCAGGAGGCAGGAAAACAGCCGGGGAAGTGAGCAGACGCTCGGGAGCCTCCTGGGTTTGAGTGTCACTCGGGGGCGGGGATGCTGGGGACGCAGGGTAACAAAAGAGCAGGAGAACAAACTGACTCCAGCCTGCTCGCCTCGTTATTTTTATTTTTTTTCACACCTCCCCGTCCAACCATCTCTTTTGTTTTGTTTTATTTTTAGGATCGGGCTCTGCCTGAGCTTCTGAGGCAGGTCTGGATCTGCAGGGTTAGTGGAGATGGAATGAAAGGTACCGGTGGTGCTGCTCTGGGTGGAGGGTGGCAGAGGGGCTGTGGGGAGGGAGGGATGCTCTGCTCTTGCTCTGCTCCTGCTCTGCTCCTGGCTGCCAGGGCAGGGTGGTGTTTGCACTCCCTGTGTCTCTGGTTGCTTTTCCAGAAGGGCATTGACGGGCTGGAGTGAGTCCAGGGAAGGGAACGGAGCTGGGGAAGGGTCTGGAGCAGCAGGAGAGCTGAGGGAGCTGGGGGGGCTCAACCTGGAGAAAAGGAGGCTCAGGGGGGACCTTCTGGTTCTGCAATCCCTGACAGGAGGGGGGAGCCAAGGTGGGGTTTGGGCTCTGCTCCCAGGGAACAGGGACAGGAGGAGAGGGAATGGCCTCAGGCTGTGCCAGGGGAGGGGCAGGTGGGACATGAAGAGGAATTTCTGCCTGGAAAGGGTGGTCAGGGATTGGAAGGGGCTGCCCAGAGAGGTTTGGAGTGCCCACCCCTGGAGGTGTCCAAGGAAGGCCTGGCCGTGACCCTCAGTGCCCTGGGCTGGGTGACAAGGTGGGGATGGGGCACAGGGTGGCCTCCATGACCCTGGAGTTCTTTTCCAGCCTCAGTGATCCCGTTATCTCCATGATTCCCCGCTCTGTTCCACAGCATAACCACCCCCCTCACCATGGAGCTGGCCAGCACCAAGGACTTCCAGTGGAAATCCCTGGCCCCGCTCCCGAGCCGCAGGGTGTACTCCACGCTGCTGGAGGCCGGGGGCCAGGTCTTCGCCATCGGGGGCTGCGACGACAACGGTGTCCCCGTGGACTCCTTCGAGGTCTATTCCCCCGAGGCCGACCAGTGGACGTCCCTGCCCCCCATGCCCACGGCCCGAGCAGGGGTGGCCGTGGCCACCCTGGGCAAGAGGATCATGGTGGTGGGAGGGGTGGGGGCCAACCAGCTGCCCCTGAAGGTGGTGGAGATGTACAACATCGACGAGGGCAGGTGGAAGAAGAGGAGCTCGCTGAGGGAGGCGGCCATGGGCATCTCGGTGACGGCCAAAGGCAAGGAGGGGGGGGACACCAGTTCACAGGGTGGCGGTCAAAGGTTGGGCTCGATGATCTTAGAGGGATTTTCCAGCCTGTTTGATTCCCTAATCGGTGCATCAGGCACTCTTTAAAACTTCCAGGGCAATGGCACACGGGGTCACCTTGTTGTTCTCCTCCAAACCCTCTTCTTGTGCTTCCAGAAGTTCAGCCTCGTGTTTGTCGCGTCCCACCTGGCAAAGATGTTCTGTGGGAGGCTGAAAGCAGATAAACCAGGGGGGCTGATCTGTGTTGTCAGCCCTGGAGCCACAAGGGCCAGGACTGTGTGAGTCCCTTGGTGGGGATTTTGGGCAGGTCCAAGCTCCAGGATATCAAATCAAACTCCCTCAGGGTTTTGAGCAAAGTCTGGCCCTTGAGTGCTGTGGATGCTGGAAGAATAGGAAAGGTGCTGCTGGCTGAAGGTCTCAGAGCCACAGAACAGCTTTGGTTTGAGGAGATATCTCTGATCCAAGCCCAGAAGCAGCCAGGAGAGAGTTATCTTCATGGCCATGGGCTCAAATCACTGTATGAGGAGAGGAAGCAGCTGGTTTTGTGAAGCTCCTCTGCAAGCCCTGGTTTAAATGCCCTGAGCTCTGCCTTATCAGCCCACCTCATTTCTCAGTTTCCAAGGGAATTCGTGGAGCACTGACTTCCTCTGGTGTGCTCTGCCCTGCTTTGAAGAGCCTGGAGTGGGAGCTGTGCTCCCGAGGTCAGGCAGCTCCCAGGATTAGGGATCTAATCTCCAGGCAGCTTCTTTGAAAGCTGCTCGGTTTGTTTGCTTAAGTGGCTTTAAAAAAGCTACCGTCAAGGAATGCTTAAAAATAATGTTTACCATCCTGCAGATGATTTTCCAGTCTGAGAATAAGCTCTCCTGACTGATAAGGCAGGGTCAGTGTGGGGTGAGAGGCCAGGTGTGTTTTTGCAGGGCAGGGATTTCTGGTGCTTTGCTGTCATAATATTGGGATTTTCTATTTTTTTTTAATTTTTTTTTTTTTTTGCTTCTTGCCTTGTGCAGACTACAGGGTGTATGCAGCTGGTGGGATGGGAGCTGACCTGCGGCCACACAACTTCCTGCAGCACTATGACATGCTCAAGGACATCTGGGTGTCCCTGGCAGCCATGCCCACGCCCCGCTACGCTGCCACCTCCTTCCTCAGGGGCACCAAGATCTACGTGCTGGGTAAGGACCAGCCCTGCCTCCTCCTTCTCCACCTCCTCCTCCTTTGATCTGAGCGCTGAGAACCTCCCTGGAAGAGGCTTTTGGGGATGTTCTCCTCCATCCTGCCCTGATTTCTCGCTCACTCAGAAACACTGGGAGGTTTTTGAGGCGGGTTTGGGTTCACGGCTCCACGGGGAGCACCCACGAGAGCCCCTCCTGCACCCTGGGAGCTGCTGGTGCTGGGTGGGTGGGCTCCCCTGTCCCCCTCCCCACACTGCTGGAAGATGAGGGGACACTGGTCTTTGCCTGCTTGCTTTGCAGCCCCCACGACTGTGCTAAAAGCCCTTGGACTCAACTACATGCATAAAATACTTCAATAAATAAACACTTCTATGCATTTTATAGCAGCAGCAGCAGCTTCACTAAGGGACTGCCTTTGGCAGAGGAAAGACCTGTGTAGTTGGGCTGGAACAAGCCCTTTGTAGGGGATGATTTTCATGAGTTTTGCCTCGCAGGAATGGAAACCAAGGCAGAGGAACGTTGCTGTCAGCTCGCGGCCAAACGGCACGTCAGGATCAAAACACACAATTCCTGATTTCTCAAACGGCCAGACAGCCCTGGTTTGCTTTAGGGGTGACCAGAAAAGAGCCTTTTGATCTATTTTGCACTTTGCTGGCTGCTGGGGAACAGTTTGTGAGCCCAGGAGCCAGCACAGGCTCTGCCTTCAAAGGCGTCTGAGCTGAGAATAGCTGTATTCAGCTGAGCCTGACGGGTGGGGGGGATAATGTGGATCTTTGGCAGTGGGAGCAGCAGCTGCTCCGGCTCTCCTGCTCCCAGGAGCTTGGCAGCAAGGCCAGGGCTCGCTGGATCTGAGCTCATCTGAATTGCAAAGGCTCCCTGAGCCTGATCCCTGCTCTGCTGTGAATTTGTCTCGATTAAACCGGCGCATACCAAACACCTCCCAGCACCGGGGGCTGGGGGGGTGATGTGCTGAGAAATGAAGGGTCTCTGTGGGGTGAACCCTCAGCTAAAAGAGAAGGGAGCACAAAGGTGAAGAATTCCTTGGCCCAGACCCCGGCAGGCTCCTGCGGTGCCTGCTCTGACCCCTTCCCTCCCGCTCCCGCAGGTGGAAGGCAGTCCAAGTACGCCGTCAACGCCTTCGAGGTCTTCGACACAGACACCAGGTCGTGGACCAAGTTCCCCAACATCCCCAACAAAAGGGCCTTCTCCAGCTTCGTGCCCACGGAGGACAAGCTGTTCAGCCTCGGGGGGCTGCGGCAGGGACGGCTCTACAGGCAGCCCAAATTCATGAGGACCGTGGACGTGTTTGACGTGGAGCAAGGTGGGGCTGTGTGGGGGCACTGGGGGCTGGGCTCGGGGCTCTGCTGTCCTTGCAGGGCACAGAGCTCTCATCTGCTCAGGCCTGGGCTGCTGAGCCCAGCCTAGAGGAAGACCTGCAGTCAGGATTAACAAGTGAAAAGGGAAGACTACGGTCCAGAGGTGGCTGGATTGAACAGCCTCCTCCTGAGCTGGTGATGAGGGACCTGACCCCTTTCACGGGGTTTTATTACCCCAAGGCGCAGCAGCAAAACTGCAGCCCCTGAGGCAAGAAGGTCAGAGAGGTTTTCCAGCAGTGGATAACACCCATAACACCCAGTGTGTGTCCTGTCCCTCCCAGGTGGCTGGATGAAGATGGAGCGCTCCTGCTACCTGAAGAAGAGGCGAGCAGACTTCGTGGCTGGGTACCTGAAAGGCAGAGTTGTCGTGGCTGGGGGACTGGGTGAGGCACTGGGGGTGCTGGGAACACTTTTAAAGCCGAGTGTGGGTCATGTGTTACCGTTACAAAGAGGAGAGGCCCTGGTCCTTGGCTGGCTGGAGGGAGCAGGGGAAACCAGGCCCAGAAGGGAATGGGGGGCAGAGCACCCAAGGGATGCTCCGTGGTTATTCCCAGGTAACCCAGTGCCTCAATTTGTGCTTCCAGGAAACCAGCCAACTGTTCTGGAGTCTGCAGAGGCTTTCCACCCCGAGAAGAACAAGTGGGAGAGCCTCCCCCCCATGCCCACCCCGCGCTGTGCCTGCTCCAGCATCGTGGTGCGGGACTGCCTGCTGGCCGTGGGGGGGGTGAGCCAGGGCCTGAGCACGGCCGTGGAGGCCCTGTGCCTCTCGGATTCCTAGCTGGATCCTGAGCTGGATCCTGCCCCTCACTGACCCCAGCAGTGGTGCTGGCAGCTCCTGGGTCAGGTGAGTGCCACCTGGAGTGTCCTGGGAGCTTTGGAAGCTCAGCTCTGGAGCCACCAGACAGAGCTGCTGGTCCTCTGCTGGGCACTGCTTTGGGGCCCCGTGGAGGGACCCCCACTTTGGCCAGGGGTCCCCTCCAGTCACCTCCAGAGCTCTGTGGGGATATTCAGCTGAAGGAACTTGGTGCCGTGTCTCCTGCCCGCAGGGAGGACTCAGGACATCTGGGAATTGTGTCCCTGCAGCCATCCTGACCTGCTTCCAAAAGGTTTGGAGGTGTTGGGACTGTCCAGACAGGTCAGTGGTGGCTCGGGGGGGACTGTCTGACTGGCATTGCCCTCTTTGAGCATCCCTGTGCTTCCCTGCACAGATCCCTTTGGCTACAGCAAGGGAAGCTCCCAGCCTGCAGCCAGATCCAGGGGATCGTTCCTTTGCCTTCATAGCAAGGCTTTTCCTGCAAAGCTGTAGCATTTTCCTGGCGCTGGGGCAGAGGGGCTGCCAGTGCTGCCTGAGGGGTGAATGCCCAAGGGGCCATTCTGGCCCTTACTTTTGGCCCAGGACTGGCACAGATCCTGCCTTTGCTGGGCTTCATGCAGAGATGGCCTCAAGTCACAGCGTTCCAACCTGCTTTCAGCTGCTTTCATGGTTTGGGATCTCCTCCTCGGCCCTGGGAGTTTTTGGGGGTACAATTCCAGCTTGTAGCAGCTGCACCATTAAAACTGCCTTTGGGAAAGCCCCTGAGGGAGCCCGTACTGTGCTCTGGGGCCGTGCCAGGGCTGTGACTGAGTGAAAACGTGGGACTCAGACTGAAAAGGAGGAGAGGTGGGAGCCTGGGATCGTGGAATCTCAGGACGCTTGGGATTGAAAGGGACCTCACAGGCCACGTCATGCCCAGGTCGCTCCAGCCTGGGCTGGGCAGCGATGTGACCCCCTCCCGTGTCCCCTTGCAAGGCTCCACATCCCTCGCTGATCGCGGTCCCGGGGCTGCGGGGCGGGGGGTCCCTGTGTCGCGGTGGCGTCACGGGGAGGGTGCGGGGGCTCTGCCGCGGAGCAGCGAGGACACCGTGCGGCGGCCGCGGACACGGCGGGGCCGGGCATCGCTCCTGCCGCTTCCCCGGAGCGGGACAGGGTCCCGTCGGTCCTTCTTCTCCAGGCTAGATCCCCCCGCATCCCGAGTGCCGCGCAGCTGCGATGGCAGGGAACAGGCACCAGCCTGCCTGGCTGTGACAGCGCCTGGCAGAGACTCACGGGCTGTTTTGGGTGGGAAAGGACCTTAAAGACCACCCAGTTCCACCTCCCTGCCGTGGGCAGGGTCACCTTCCACTGGGCCAGTCCCCTGCCATGCTCCCACCTGTGATCCTGGTGTGTTCTTCGTTTAGGCACTGCGGTTTGGAGGGTTGATAAATGCAAACAGCTGATGGCAGGATGGAGCTCTGCACAGCTCTGGCTGGGATGGAGGGCCAGACCACATCCCTGGGTGACTCGAGGGCTGCTGGGTCTGGCAGAGCTGAGGGAAGGTGCTCAGAGCACCCCTCTGCATGTGCAGCCCTGGGGGTGCTGCCTCCCAACCCCAGAACGCTCCCAAATCATCCCTTTGAACCCCAAAAATCCGAGGACGATGGAGGAGGCTGAGGGAGGGAACGAGGAGCCTTCTCCTCCAGATCAAACCCCACGTCTCCCTGCACAGCAAATCTCTGTTTCAGCTGCCTCTGCACAGGCCTGGCTGTTAATGAGAAGTTTTCCTTTGTCCTCGAGGAACCTTTCCCACACACAGCACGGCCTGGTGCTGCTCTGCTCTTGGTTTCTTGTTAGCCCCGAGCCCTGTGCAGCTCAGCAAGGCCAAGCTGCTGTGCTTTGTTAATCTGGAGCGAGGGGAGGAGGGATGTGCTGCCTTTGTCTGGCTGCAGCACAGCTGGAGGCTCAGCCTTTGCTTTCTCTCCCCAGACGGGCTGGAGAGAGTGACAGACAAAGCAGTGCCATGGGAATAGAGCTGCTGCAAGGCTTGATGAAGAGATGGCAGGGACCGGGGACAGGGCTGGGGGTGACAGTCGCTAATCAAAGCTGGGGATGTGCTGAGCATTCAGAGAGGGGGGAAAAGAGGAGCTCTGAGTCCCCACATAGGGAGAAGCAGATGCAGATCAGCTGCCTGTGTAGTGAATCTCAAGCTCTCATCAGCAAACAGGATGCTGGTACATCCCTGGAGCTGCTGAGTCCCTGGTGGCAGTGGGTGCTCCTGGCTGTGGGGAGGCTTTTCCCCATGTTGGAGCCAATGCAGAGGAGGGAGGATGGCATTCCCTAACTGTGGCACGAGCTGGAGGATTGAGAACCATCTCCACTGATCGTTCTCACAGCTGCACCTTCGTTCCTGCCCTTCTCTGGGCTGCTCCTGCTGCCGTGGGAAGCAGGAACCTGCAGGAGATTTGTCCCAACCTGCTGCTGTTTGTCACACAAGGGCTGTGCCCGCCCTCTGGGTGAGGGAGGTGTGACCCTGGCCAGGGCTGGGGAGCAGGGAAGGGGATCAGGTGCTCCTGGCTGTGGGTGCAGGGGGTGGTTTGCGTTGTTTAAGCAGGTTTAAGGGCTTGGTTTGGGCTGAGAGGCGCTGGACGGGCTCCCAGAGCTCCGAACAGCAGATGGCATCCATGGGCTGGAGCTCAGGCTGGAGCAGCACCTCCAGCAGCCAGGCAGAGATGGACCACACTTGGTGAGACGGCTCCAAAATCCCATTTTGGGCTTAGCTCCTGGCTACCAGCACAAGGATCCAGCAAATAAATGGACGTGGAAAGAAAATGCATCTCCTCCAGCATCTTGTTCCCAGCCACCCCCTCTGATCCAAACACCTTCCAGCAGCTGAATTCTGCTCTGGGATCCAAATGGTCCTTAAAGCTGCTGCCCAGAGTCAGTCAGGGAAGTGCCTGAGGTGTCCTGTGAGAGGGGGGCTGTGAGTTTGTGTGCACAGAGGGGAGAGTCCTGTGTGCTGGTGCAAAAGCAGCATGTGCAGCCCCAGGCACTATGAGTGTGTCCCTCGGGACCAGGGTCAGGTGTGGCAGCACAGGGGGGGCTGTCTGTGCATCCCAGAGCAGCAGCTCCAACTGCTCCCTGCTCCCAGGGCACCAGCAGAATTCCCACCCAGCGAGCTCGGGGCTCTCCCAGCGCTGCACCCACGTTATGAGAGCACATACCTGGGAGCCACTGTCACCTCCAGCAGCTCCTGCTGCCTGAGCACCCTGTGACAAGCAGAGCTGCTCCCCAGGCTCCCCGGGGAGGTATTTGCCTGGATTCACACGTTACCCAGCTCAGTGGGTGGCAGACACGCACCTGTTGCACCATCGGGGCTTGTGGGTTCCTCCCTGCTCTGCTCCCTGGGAGCTGCTGCCCTGCCTGGGCTTGGTCCTGCTCTCACAGGAGGTTTTGTGGCCTCCAGGCTCTTGCTGCCCCTGGTTCTTTGGGCAGGGTTTTCCCTCGAAACAAGCTCAAACCGAACTGTGGTGTTTGTTCTTGAGGGACAGGAGGTTCGGTGAACGGCCCACCTCCTCTCACAGCAGGAGGAGTTGGTTGTGCAACCTTAAAAACCCATTTAGATGCCACTTCAGGACTGCATTTAAGGGGAGTGCTCAGACCTCAGCGCAGAGGACCTGCTGATGCCAGAGCAGCTGAACCTTTCCTGTAAGCTGTGGTCGGTGCTGCAAAGGGAATACTTCAGAAATAAAGCAATCAAACCTAAAATCCCCGTGTTTCAGCCCAGCTTCCTTTCCACAACACGCAGTAAATGTGACCTGCTTTGGAGAATTGCCGTCAGCAACCTTCAGAATGGATTGGCAATCATCTGTGGTATCTTTCCTCTCTCTTTTTTTTTTTTGTTTTTTTTTAATGTATGTATTCTCTCAGAGCTGCCCTGGCACGGGATCACGTTTCGGTACAGCGAGTGCTCTGAACGCTGTGCTGTGACATTCTTTGTCACTGAGCTCCGGTGGCTTTGTCACCCCCTTTCTCCTGTCCCTGGGAGGCTGCAGAAAGCTCTGGGCAGCTCCTGCTGCCCCAGTTAGCCCCCCTTCCCCCCCAGTTCCACAGGACCCCGTGCCCACCCCCCTGGGTGCCCACCCTGCTCCCTGTGTGCCTTTATCCCACACCCAGCTGAGCTCCCAGGGTTTTCCAGTGACCTGCTGGGGCTCCACAAATCCCTGACTGGCCGTGGCCGTGTCCTCGCCTGAACTCCCGATGCTCTGAGTTTTCTGAGAGGCTTTTCAGCCCCAGCCCCCGTGGCTGCTCCGGCACAGCGGCCGAGGGCCCTCCTGCCAAAATCCAGCTCTCATTGTCTCCGAGCAGCCTTTGTCTGCACAAACAGGAAACTGCCTCAGAACAACCTCCAGCAGGTCTGGTCGAGGAGCACAAATTACTCCCGGACCTTGCCGTGGACCCGCGAGTCGTGGTTGTTGGGGATGATGCTCTTTGGGGTCACTGCTGCCCTTCGGGGTCACTGCTGCCCTTTGGGGTCACTGCTGCCCTTTGGGGTCACTGCTGCCCTTTGGGGTCATCTCTGCCCTTGGTGGCCAAAGGGGACCCAGTGTAGTGTTGTGGGAATAGAGCTCCTCTGTGCTGCAGTGGCACTGGGGAATACCAGGGCACTGCCCCATCCCTGCCAGGTTCCCAACCCCTCAGCCCATGAATTTCTCCCTGGATAGCTGGGAGTGGAGCTCCTCCCTGCTGCCAGAGGTGCAGTGGCACTGGAAAACGCTAGGATATGTCCCTGCCATCCCCCCTGTCAGGTCCCCAACCCTGCAGGGACACCAGGAGCGGAGTCACCCCCGGCTGCTCCCGCTGCCATCAGACAAACCATTCCATCAGCATCCGCCGGTGCTGGAACGGATATGGAGTCACCACCCTGACACACAGACGCTTCCTGCCCCGAAAATAAAAGCTCCAGCCCTTTTTTGGGGGGGAAT